TTTCTGCTTCATACAATTGTCAAATTGTTTTTGATTGCTTTTTAAATTGTTGTAATTTATTGAAAATGCCTTAAGCCAACAGCGGCACCTACCCCTCGGCTCCACTAAATACCACCACAGCGCATGCCACCACGGCCACAGCAGCTGCTTCCTCACGCACACTCATTTCGTTGCGTATTTGTCGCATTTTTTATGACCGCTGTCTCACAGAAGGCGGCTAAAATAGCAGCTCGACCAGCCTGCCCGAACGCGTTTGTACATACATGTATGTATGTATGTATGTGCGTAGCTGACAGCGTGTGGGCTTCTGCCTTTAAGCTCATTCCATTTCATTTGGTATTTAAGTGCATACTTTAGTGGACAGCAAATCGTCTTTTTGATTGGAATTTATAGGCTTCTGTTTTGGAAAAAATTGTCTACCACAATCTCACTGCCAGGTGTGTGTGTTTGTGCGTTGTAAAGTTGACAAAAATTGCTCTCTACATAATTGCTGCCTGTGGTCGAAAGACGCGCGACAGTTGGCGGAATTGCTCACCGTTTATCGCTTCTATTTGGTTTGCGGGTAGCAGTGTTGGCCTGGGAGTTGTTCATCGACTTTGTCAGCGGAATTTATGTAGCCGATTTTATCAAAATTACTCTTAGATAGTCGTGTTAAGTGAAATGGAAAGAAATTAGTTCTTGTTGAGAATTTCAACTTTGATGTAAACATCGGTAATTGCTGATGAAATGAGAATTTAGACAAAGCCTTAAGAAATATGCGCTCACTTCAAGTTAATTTTTATTGACTTCGGACTATAAGAAATACAGTACACAATAATGGCAACAATAGTTCACAGAGATTTACAGACCTCTGGAAATTCTTATATAACCACAAAGCAGATGGACGGGCTGACGGCTGAAATGAGATGAAGTACAGAAGAAATCATAAGTCCGCCAAAGCATAAAGAGCCCAACAGATAACAAACTCGATAGATATTTATATAATCTCATGAACAGGCAGACTGGACACAAGTTGGACCTCGGAGGTATTCTACAATTTCTTGGTCAGAAGATCATTTCCGCAAATAAATAAACCAAAAGACAGCAAAGTTGATTGACAGATCGCCGAAGCCCAAATGAATGGAAAGTTGGATACCCGAACCGTTGAATTAAAATACCGTAAGAGTGAGAACCGTCTCAAGAAATAAAGCACTAGTAATCCCACGAACACAACTTTATATTCATTGAAAGCGGATCCACTATCAAAAGAAGGTTTGAGATAATGGATGGAAAGTTTGATTAATGAACCGTTGAGCTAAAAGTCGAAGTAGCATGCACCGTCTAATGAGATAATGAAGAAATAAACACACGACAAAATTTTGAGTACATTGAAAGTCGGGTCCATTACCAGACAAAGGTACGATATTGATTGATTATGGATGAAAAGTTCGATTGATGAACCGTTGAACTAAAATACCGAAGAAGCAAGAAACTTCTAAGGAGATTAAGAAGAAATAAACCTAATAAATAATTGAAAGTCGGATCCACTATCAAACGAAGGTGGTCAGGAGATCAGTAAACGGGCTAAAACACTAAAAGATTGATAAATGGAGAAATCTATAGCTGGTACTGGAAATGGGTAAAGACTAGGCGTTAAAAAAAAAGTTTGGAAATTACCATGAAACCAACATAATTTGATTAGTAGATTAGAGAGATAGATAAATATTATTGTGGTAATAAGAATCCGATTTCGATCATAACTCAACTTTAGCTGCTTAAAATTGAAAAGATGAACTTCTTTCATTACAGCCACATAAGTATACTGACTTGTAGGCCCATAAGACTTACAATAAGCGCCTTAAAGCTCAGACTTTTTGTTTCGAATTTTGGTTCCGGTTTTATTCCAGAGCTAAAAGTAACATAACTCACCTCATTTGCGTAACACCAGCCAACCTTATTTTCATATTTCCATCATCGATCTAGTTGCAAACAAAACTAGCTAAGCCATGAGCTTTTAAGCACATTCGGCACTTAAGCACATGTGCTCTCTTCTAACCTCTGTCGCCGTAATTCCTTAACGTTTCAAGCCCTCAGCACCAGCATAGCTGATCACACCTTCGTACAAAGTAAACGCGCTCGTCGCCAAGGTGACGAACGATTTATGGCAGCTGTCAATCGTCACCGACCGCAATGCAACGCTGCATAAACGAACTCGCGCACATACACGAGCATAAGCATCCTCCAAAGCCGATTAGTTATGGCTTAAATTTACGATTTGATTTTTTCAATTATACGGTGAGGAAATTACATTTCAGATTACAAATACCGTACTAGATGTTAGAAATTATTTTTCTATTTTTGGTCGCTCATTCGCTGTTGGCATTATCAGCTGTCAAATCGATTTTGTTTGCTGAGCGTGGGCGGGCGTAGGTGTATGAAAATCGTATAAACTCGCCTAGAAATATTAGTGCAATGGCAACATCAGCTGAGGCAAATGAGGCATGAAGAAGCGCAGCGGTGTGTGGATGACTGTCAGTCAACAGCTTGTCGAGCACTTGAACTTCAACACGATCGGCAATATCGTAAATTGAATAAATAGCACTTTTTAAGGTGCCTAAATGTGGTGGGTGGCAGGTTTATGCAGTATTTTTGAGTTTATTTTTATATATTGTTATTCTGGAAGTACTTTCCGTCGAATGTTTGAATTTTAATGAAGTTTTAAGCTCTTGCGTAGCAAACTAAAATCTTAAAGGGAGACGAAATAAATTCGAAATCTTTTTTTACAGAGAAGCCGTGAGTTAGATGGATCTGTTTAACTTTTGTATCCAAACCTTAGTCAGACATTTTTTGCGGTTAAGGAGATCGAAAATACCTTCCGCTTCATCAGTGCTCTCGTCAGAGCAGGTCCTGAAACATATTTGCAGTACTTCAGTGATGATCCATTTTTCTTATTGAGAGACTTGTTATTTTCAGATGATTTCTTTAGCTCCTACAGATTTTTCTGCTCGTATGCTAGAAGGTCAATTCGAACATTACCGCTTATAACTAATATTACATCGCCTGGCACTGTTCGTTAGGCTGATACAACGCTGAGGCTCCAATGCAACGCCGGTTTTCCTTTCTAAACACATCTGCTCAGATTTCAGCTCCGTATAATACAACGCTAATTTGTCGTCGACATTCTTAGCTTTCTCTTTTCTTAGCTGGCGCCTTCTACGTTGGCCATTACTCTAACCAGAATTTTAGTCTGGCGTCGAATCCTACGCTTTCTTTGAGCTTCGTATGTGTCTCGTACCGTAATTACTACTGTAATGTCGTCTGCGTAGAAAATAAAGCACGATTTGTTTGGCATTTTCAGTTTTAGTACAGCGTAATATGGATCCCTGTGTTGCTGATGACGTGACCTCAATCTGTTGTGATTCCTCTCTAGGTTTGTACAGCAGTTTTCTGTTACTAAAGTAGCTCCGCCCCACAGCTCTAAAGTAGTCGGGTATTTCTAAGTTTTTTTTCGAGAGCGGCGATCATATCCACCCATCTAGCACACCCACCTACGATGTGCGGCTTCTACACTTCCCGTGACTCATTTTAGAGCTTCTAGCGTTGTTCTGTTCGTCGGTTCTAAAGCCGTGTTGCCTAGCGAAAAATCCTCCAGCTTCGTTAATAGCCACTTCGAGCCATTGGTAGCCTTTCATATAGTCAGAAAATTAAGGTACATAGTATAGCATTTATTGTTAGAATTGCGTTTTTGTAGCGAAGTTGACTGACGTGAGATTCTAGTGACTTATCGAAATAGAAGGTGCGTTCCAAAGTAAACAGGACTTAAAAAAAATAGAGCAAATGGTTTTTTTCGGCAAAATCAATTTATTTTATTCAAAATAGTCTCCTTCTGCTTCAATATAGCTTTTTGCACGGTAGAAAAGCATGTCGAACGAGTGATTTTTGGTCAAATAATCGCCCTTCGAATGTTGGATTCCGAGCAATTTTTGGTCGTCAGTCAATTTGTGCGGAACAAACCGTGCACACACATTTCGTAAGCCCAACCATTCGGTCAAAATCCGATAAATCGATGTTTTGGAGATGTTCAATTCCATTTCCATGAATTCCAATGATGATTTCGGCTGATTTGTGATGAATTCGCGCACAGCTTCGATGGAATTTCCGGTTATCACGGATATGGATTGGCCCACATGTTGATCGTCATTTATGCCCTCCAGATCACTTTGGAAACGTTGAAAAAAACTCATGCATTCTGCCACGGGATAGGCAATCATCGTCATAAACTTGTTTTATCAATTGAAACGTTTCGGTAAAATTTTATCAATTTAAAAAAAAAAATTTAATGTTGGCTCTTTGTTCGAAGCTCATTTTCGCACCGATAACACAAACATACTGACTCTTAAAACGCAATAACTTCACTTCCAATCAATGAAATGTTGTGAAGCTCTCACTGAACACTCGATAAAGATAGCATTCTAACGCACCAGTCGACACATAGATGGCGCCACTAGGGGGCGCTAGATGAAAGAAGTTCTGTTTACTTTGGAACAAACCTTGTAGTACATTTCCTTAACGAGGAACAATATCTAATCGTAAATCAAAGGCTTTTTAATCTTTATATAGATCTTTGTCTTGAAAGCAGCATATAGTACCTCCACCACCTAGATCATAGGCCTACTTTTTCACACTACCGTTGGAAATTGTAATAAAGTCGGATGGAACCCAGTAATATATCCGAGTGCCTCATATGACTGATTTACACACATGAACCGCACAGAATATGATAAAGGGAACACTTATTTTCAAATAAAAATCATTCTTCAATAAATATTTTGAAATATAAATCATTCTTCAAAAAATATTTTGATATATAAATCATTCTTCAACAATACAAATCTTTATCCAATCCAACCATTCAACACCTTTCCTCTGTTGCTACTTGATCCTCTTTGGCCAAGCGAGTTAAATGTTTATACTTGCATTGACTTTTTTAAAATTTATTTTTAAAGAAAAATATTTTAATATTTTACGAATAAATACATAAATAAATATATATAAGAAATACCTACAATTATGTGTAGCTTTTATTAGCAACCATTTTAGTTCATTATTCTCCAAACTTGTTTGGAGCGAATGAAACACAAATCCTAACAAATTTTCCTCTCGCTCTATTTGTCTCTACCTCAATCCTCTTCATTATTTCAGTTTTCTTTACAACACTTTTCGGTTGCATGCGAAATTGCTGCCACACTTTACTCACTCTTTAGTAGTGTCTTCTTTATCTCTGATTGCAAAATTTTTCTCAAACTGCCATAAACTATCTTCACAAAAACATTAACTTACAAAGCTGAGCTTTCTTGGTTGTTACTGCTCTCACTTGCTGCTGTAGTTGTCGTGGTATCTACAACACTCTGTGTACTTGACTCACTATTTTCCATTTCTGCGGCTTGTGTCGTGCTGCTACTCTCACTTTCAGCAGCCCCATTACCCGCCACACATTTGCATGAATCATCAGTGCGCGCTTCAATCCAATCCAAATACTGAGTAACGCGCGTATAAACACCTGGTGCATTGGGCCGTGCACAACCCTCTCCCCAAGAAACCACACCAGCCAACTGATAGGTCTTCGTCGCATTATTGGGTATATGTAGGGGACCACCGCTATCACCCTGGCACGAATCCTTGCCGCCTTCAAGATAACCAGCGCAAAGCATATTATCCGTAATGCGGTCAGAGCCATATTTACTCTTGCGACAGGTCTCCTGCGACATAACCGGTACTTGCACCTCCTACAGGAGTCAGTAAGTATGAGTAAAAAATAAAACTAGCAAGTTGTTTGCACTCACCTGCAAGCGATCAGCTATGAAGCCACCCTCCTTGATGGCACCCCAACCGGTGACCACAGCCAGCTCACCATCGTAGGTATTACCAGCCTCCGCAAGACATACGGGCCGCAAAGGATCACGCAACTCTACAGGTTCAGTGAAACGTAATAATGCAATATCGTTATCTAAATTGCGTGTACTGTAACCGTCATGCACAATAATCTTATCAAGCTGGCGATCGATCGTACTCACACGGCCGTCCGTGCGATTATGCGACAGTAGACGCACGGAGATCTGACGCTTATTGAAGCCACGCACACAATGCGCTGCCGTTAGCACATACTGATCGTTGATCAGTGCGCCGCCGCAATAGAAGTCGCCACGACGCATTAGCATGGCCATCCAAGGATACTCATTCACCTCGGTATCCATGCCGCCGACAATGCGATGAAATGTGTTGATGCTGCCACAATTGCAGGACGGACAAGCGCGCATTGGTGTGGCCGGCGTGGCAGAGGTCGACGGTGAGGCGGTGGTGTTTGGACGGAAAATTGCTGTGATCCAACCTATAATATTATCCTGCCGTAGAGCCGTTGGTGTTGCCGCGGTGGCGGGCACAACTGAGGCGATGCCGTAGTGCAAGAAGACATGCACAAGGATAAGCGCAGCTAACCAGTGATTTTTATAAGCCATATTATTCTTGGTATACTTTGCCAGTATGAACCGTTATGATGCAGCAAACGGCAGCAACTGTTTGCTGGATAAATGCGCGTTGAGCCTAGAAGTGAGCGCTGTCGAAAGCGTTCCACAATCAAGCTACTTGGCCGGTTTGTGGTGGTCAGCAGACTAGTTGTCCAATTATTTGCGGCTTAGAAATATCCTCTTCGCATGCCAACGACTACTTTTCATACAACTTTCCCAATTGAAACCGGCTGCGATTGGGATTAATTGGTATGCAAGTTGGGTGCAGTAGGCCAATCCACGAAACCGTGACGGTCAAGTCTCAACAGCGGCAATACATTTAATGATTACCGCTATAAAAATGAGCACGTACTATTCGCAATAACAGCAACTGCTTGCTGAAAAACGACAAACAGATGTATGGAAAGTTCCCAAACTGGCTTGAACTCGAAACCGTCTAACGAAATCGCACTTGAAAGTCGTGATCTTCATTGCAAATTTTGTTTTTATTTTTTGTTCAATAAATAAATAAATAAATAAGTAAAGCAAGTAAGCGGTAAATGCAACATAAATTAACTAAGCTATTCAACAAACTCCTCTCTCTCTCTCTCTTATGTGACCCAAATAAATACGTTAATAAATATGAAAGCTCGCGTCTGACAAACTCCGTAGCGCCTCGCGCTCTCTTCATTGTCCCTTTACGCTGACATACCCGAAACAATTAAAATTTCTTTATCTTCTTGGTTTCCGAATGACAAAGGCAAGCATTTCTTGTGACGGTCTTAATCCAAGTACCATAACGATTGACGCGTGCATAGACGCCAGGGAATCCGGATTTGGCACAACCTTCACCCCACGATACGACGCCAGCAATTTGATGTTCTCTAGTGCCAGGCGCGACTACATGTAGCGGTCCGCCGCTATCGCCTTGGCAGGAGTCCTTCTTGCCTTCATCAAAACCGGCACACAGCATGTTGTCTGTGATCCGTGTGGCACCGTAGCGCGATTTGCGGCATTCCTCCTGCGACATGATGGGTACTTGTACTTCCTGTAGGGTATAAATAAATTCGAGAATATAGTAGCGGCTGAATTTATGAAAAAATTTCGGAAAAAAATAAAAGTTTAACTAGCAGTAGCTGCCCATAATCGATAAGGTGCAAAAGGGCAAAAGGGAGGTCTCTTTACGGACGATATTAAAACTAGTGGGGCTCAACAACTTCGAAAAACCATTTCAGACAAGAAGCTTCTTAGGCGAAGTATCAGTATGTTATACCTTTTCTGGATTAATTTCGAGACAGATTTTAAAAAGGATCTTTCGCAAACTTGAAACGTATTAAATACTCATGTGCATTGGTCCATGGTTTCAAAGCAATCTAAAGTGATATCAGTGGTGTCTATACCCTCTGGACTACAACTTTTCAACATGCTTCATAAGATATGTGGTTCATTTTGCCAAGAAATTTGTCTTTGAAGAAATTCCTTCATATGTCTTTAATAAGTCTGTTGGTTCTCGAGATCTGATCTGAGTCGTGTGAGCTATTTTCTTGAAACTACAAAATGCCTGTCTATCTTCCTTTTATATTCAAAATTGCTTAGTCGAGTCGAAGGTTTTTCAGAAATTAAAACAATTGTCGGTTGTAGTGGGAAAATAAACGAAAAATAAGTCGTGGTGTAAGCGAATGGCAAGCAAAACTATCGGAGAGCAAATAGTAGATAATACGATTAAAGGCTAGGAAGGTTACTTAGACTTTATAAAAAGATTTTAAAGGTTTTTAAATATGATTTCGTCCTAACACTGTACACCCGTTAAAATCTTCAGCACAGCTTAAAACAATGCGTTCTCTACTTCTCTATGTACTTTAAAATTTTGCTCACCTGCAATGTATCAGCGGTAGGTCCACCTACTTTAATAGCACCCCAACCAGTCACAATAGCAGTTTCACCCTTGAAGGACTTGCCTGGCGTAGGCATGCAAACCGGATGCAAGAGTTCGGTCATTTCCACCGGTTTATCCAACTGTATGATGGCAATATCATTATCATATGTACGTGCATTGTATTTCGGATGTGTGGTAATATTGACGACATTGCGATCGATCTTCTGGAAATGCGACATCTTACGATCATGCTCCAGCAGGCGTACGCTAATGCGCTCCTTGCGGAAGCCATACACACAATGCGAGGCGGTTATAAGGAATTGATCGTTGATCAGCGAAGCGGCGCAGTAGAAGCGACCACCATACAACAGCATAGCCATCCAAGGATACTGATGCACCTCCGTCTCTTGACCGCCCACAATGCGCTTCTGCGTATTGGCTATGCCGCAAACGCACTCCGTGCAATTCCGTGGCGGATTGAGTACGATCGGCGGTGGTGCGGGTGTAGTGCTGGGCGCTACCGTGCTGCTGGTGGTCGGTACTGCTGTTGTGCTCGGCGGCGTTGGTGTTGTGGGCTGCAATGTAGTGCTGGTGATCGGCACGGGTGCTGGTGTGGCGGTTGCTGGTTGCGGTGCCGGTGGCAATTCTGTGGTGCTGGTCAAGCCATCCGGCGATGTTGTGGTCGTACTAGCCGGCACACCGAATATATTTGGACGGTTGGGCAGTAGCGAGAGCACCCACTGTATGAAGGTATTTTGTGATTGACGCAACAGCGCAGCAGGTTCACTACGCAAACGCAATAGATTCACCTCATAGGTGGCCTCTGTGGCTGTAGGACTTGTGACGGCGATTATAGCGAATGCTAATAGCAGGCTACAAACGATATTTTTCTTAAACATTGTTAAATATCTTTCTTTTTATTTTGAGGAAATGATTTTTTCACACTTTTTTCGCTACAAACACTTCGAGTAAGGCTACTGCGGTGTCGGACACTCGCGCATTTCTCCACAGCCGAACACTAACTGACCGTGGCGCACCGCATTAGCGCATGTGGTAGCTGATTTCTGTAAAGTGGGCCAACACGATCGGACTGGATCGACGCATCACGCGGCTTATTTGCAAATTATTGCGCTAATTTAATCGTTGCAAGCGGCGGCGGCGGCGGCGTCTAGCTGAAGCGCGAGCAGCTACTTACACCGCTGTACGTTGTACTGTGAGTGGGTACGAGCTATGCCTACATAGCCAATAGCCAAAAATAACTCATATGCCTGGTAGCGTAACGCGCGTGATTGGGCGCCTTAAGTGGCGAAAGTTTGCTGCGTCCCCAAAGTCACGGCAGCTGCTGAAATAAATTCGTTTTTACTTATTTCTTTGTTTTGCTTTGCTGCCAGACTTTTCTGTGTCAAGCTTTGCTTAATAAATATACACACACACATATTTTGATTTTGTTTTTCTTTTTTTTTTCGTGAGCTCATTACAGCTGCCTATATTTTTTGTATTTTTTTATCAGTAGCTCTTCAGCTATTGTCTTTCGTAAAGCACGATTGTTTTGCTTTTGGCGTCTGCTTGCAAATTGTTAGGTAATCGTTAATGGTGACACTTCAGTTGGCATTTCAGTGTACACTTGTCGCCCAGAATTCATATTTGGTCAGCTTTTGTGTATTACAACATTTTTATTTCTTTCTTTTTTTTTGTTTTTTTTTTTTTTTGAAGTAAAGTTAAGTGCTTTGTATCACATACTACACAAAATATTAAAGTGAGAATGCCAGCAACATCGACGCTTAGATAACCTATTTAATTAAGTTTGAAAATTATTTCCGGACACTCGAAGCAATAGGTGGGCTATATAGGGCTCTTGAGTGGACGAATTGCCTTACGAAGTTATGGGTTAAGATCTCAAGGTCAAAGGAGAGGCATGATCTTTCTCAAATAATTCGCAGTCATTGTATCAATACTTTTTCTTTAAAACATCCGTTCTAGGGCCCTATAATATCCGAGCACACACCAAGCAACGTTGTACTTCTACAGAGTCCGGCATTTTAAAAGTAACCGATTAAAAATGCCAAAAATTCGGTTTGGAAAATTATTTTTATTTATTTTAAAGTACAAAATGTGTGAAAAAAATCATAAATTCATGACCAATTCACTTTTGTGCGATATGTCCACGTTTTGCCTTAACTATGGCCTTGAGACGGTCAAAAAACGAACCGCAAGCTGCCCGAATTTGATTGGCCGGTATTTTGGCCCAGTCACGGAAAATAGCTTTCTTCAGCACCTCGAGTCTGGTTTATTTTTTACTTCGAACCTTGCTCTCCAAAATGGCCCAGAGAGAATCAAGTAGAATCGGTAAAGTAAACCCTATCATTTTGAGAGTTTAACAAATTGCTCAATTGGAAAAATCGTTTCGTCAAAAAATACAATGTTCGGAATTTTACCGCATTCGGCCAAGCGAAGCAACTGCTGCGCTCTCTCAAGTTGCAGTCTTTTGATGACCACCACCATGGCTTTTTACGATGCTACCAGTATCATTGTAACGAGTGATGATGCGATAAACAAAAACTTTATTCACATTAAGGTGTTTGAGCTTACCAAAAATTTCTGGCTTTGATTTTCCAGTTAAATATAAAGCAATCACACTATTACGTTTGAATTCCATCGCTGATAAATATTTTTTTTTTTTTTTTGTTTGGTTCAGTTTTGGCAAAACGCTTTTGTACACTTGTGAACAATACTCCGAACTGTCATTAAGCAAATTTATAAAAAGGTGATTCCAGTGCGACAGCTGCGCGAACGGTCTGAAGTAGGTTACACTTCGAGTGTCGGACCATATTTGACTTCGTGATCACGAAGATATTCATGAGAATTGCTCAATAAAATATCGCTTCTCTAGTCATCTTGCTTATTTGCTACACAGCATAGGGAATTAATTAGTCTAAGCTGTCATGAGACTCATTCACGTTTCGATACCATCATGCTAAATATTCTCTGATCTGAATGCGGAGTGACCTCTTTCATCTACTATGGAAACAGTACATCTATAAAAACTTAAGTAGCAGTAATGAACGCATCCCAAATGGAAACGCACACACCACTTAAAAACTAAAAAGGAAACTTTCTGCTTAGTCCGCCAAAACCAACTCTCAGAAAAAGAACCACAATAAAACGTTGGAACTTTTCAAAAAAAGCTTAAGCAAAGGGAAGTCGAACTAAACAGCACAACAATAGCTAGACATGCCAGAGACTGCCTCCAATATAATAGACTGAAGCCCATTTTCACTTAACACCACTTAGAAGAGATGTGTAGAGATTAACGACAGATTGTGGATACTAGTGTTAAGCTACATTCTCGACGTTCCGTTTTCCCATCTGAATTTTGACTCCTTGGAAACCTTTAGGGGTTTGATTATTACATGATGAGTGCTTTGCGACCTTAGG